TACATTTTACAACCCAGAATTGAATCTTTCCAATGAATCAAGAGAACCCAAATACCCCACAGAACAAAAAATTCAACCCAATAGAAGCAGAATGTAGTCAGCAGCAAGCAAACCACAATCAAATATTTCCAGATCGAGAAGATATCCATTGCTGCATTACGTTACATGAACTTTGAGCATCTGGTCATCTCACGGTTATGGAATGGTAGGAAACCCATCTGAGTCTGCAACCTCGACGGCAACCACGGCCTTTGAGCAACGATTTGATATATAGTAATATATAATTCATTCAAACCCATATATAGAATATGACAAATTAAAATTGCTATCCCAATTCTCAAACATACATATATATATATATATATATATATATATATATGTATGTATGTTATAATCTCAAGCAACTCCATCAACAATCCCAAATCAATATTCACAACTTAGAATCAAGTGAAACGAACTAATAGAATTTCAGGTGATTCTTCCAAGTTTTTCTCACCTTTTTTTTTTCATCAAACTAATAGAATTTCAGGTGATTCTTTCGAGTTTTTCTCACCTTTTTTTTTCATCAAAGAATTGAAGATTCTTCTGCAAATTTGCATGTTTGAATTGAATTTGGGGATTTGAGTACTGGGTAAATTTGAATATGTCAAGCTATCTTTTTTTGTCTAACGGCGAGGGCCCAAGTGAGCTCAAACAAATCGGACGACGGCGAGAGCGGGACCTTCCTCGAAGGTTTGCAGCAAAGGAGTCATTGTTGGAGCTCTATGCAACTGCAATTTGGTCAGGTCATCGAGAATATCGCTGTAGTTCTCTCGAATTAGAAACGAGGGAATGGTCTTGGTGTGGTGTTGTGATCTCGTTGGAGAGAGGACGCAACGCAGACGAAGCAAAGTCTTTGTAGAGGGAAGACGCCAAGCGGCGCAAAAGAGATGAAGCAGGTCTTAGCAGTCCCGTGGTTTTCAGGGGGCTTTGTAAAGACGACCTAACGAGGGAGATAGTCCACACGAGTCCGGGCTAGTCTCATTTAAGTTAGTCCCTAAGCATACCAAACATGGGACAATAATCCTAGCCAATCCAGTCCCACTTAAGAAGGTGAAACAAACACCCCCTTAAAGTACTATTTCAAAAGCAATATTACGTAGAACAGTCATATCATGTGTTACTATGGCCAAACGATCAAACTCGAGACTTTATATGTTTGTTATATCACCCATACCCACTTTTTATGCCCGTGTAAGAGGCACCACATGAGTATACGCCACAACGAAATTTCTCTCAATATCTTGACCCAAATTTGCCAAACTCAACTATATTGTAAGTTTACAACAATTTGAGGAAAACGTCTAAATTTTTTGGGTTTGAGTAAAATGTGGAACATGCATTTGAAGTTTTAATCGATTGCAGAACTTGCACTAATCAGCAATTCCTTCTTCCTATCCCGTTCCTTCTTCCTCTGTCCGGGTCTAACTGTTGGAAAAAATTAGTATCTTATATGATTATAGTTAGTTTGATATATGGGATTATACCATCCGAATTAAGATTTCTAGGTTTTACTTTCTATAAATATAGCTTATAGTTTAGTATGAATAACAAGTTAGTTACGATGTGGCCTCTTAAGATTTTGTAGCTATTTTGACATTCTTGTCTATTAATAATATTCTTATTATTTTGTAGTCATATTTGTTCCGCACTATGATATTCAACTTGATATCAGAGTAGGTTTGATCTTTCGGGATTTATTTTGCTCTTGTATCAATGTTGTTTGTTTGATATTAGTTTTCAGTATTAGTTTTTGAAAAAAAAAATTGAGTATGTTTGCTCGGAACCACTTGCAGGTCCCTGCATACCCGAAACCCCAGCCAATAACCGCCGCTTCAAACTTGTCGTGCCTAGTTTTTCTGCAATCTGCCGCTGCTATTGACCGAAGCCTAGAAACGTACCCACATCGCCGCCACGCCCAACATACCCGCCTATCGCCCATATTGCCATCCACTGATGCACTCCCTGTACACGCATCCTTGCCGCCGCTCTGATCTGCACCCTGTTGTTGTCCCATTAGGCACAAAATCCGCAGGTGCTCCTACCTATAGACCCATGTTCTGCAAACCAGTCTGTGCTTTGTAGAAGTTAAGGAAAGAAAAGAAGAAAAAGGAAAGAAAAAAAAAAGGAACGGGTGAAAGGAAAATGTCAGAACAAAAAAAAATTGTTGAGGTTTCGACCCACACGGGTAAAGAGGAAAAATGGGTTGTGGGCTGTTTGCCAGCCATTTTTTGGTTTGATGTCTTTGAGGCTCACATGAGTTGTTGGCTTGTTTGAGATTGTTTTGTGACAGTCATTCAAGTGCTTAGAATTGTGACCACTAGAGTGATAGTGTTTATGTTTGTTCATTCATTGATACAATTGAGATATGGAAATCTCGTCCATTTAGTGATAGGTTCTTTCTATACTCTTAACACTAGCCAATTTGAATTAGAATCAGTTTGCTAGCCAGAATTAGCTTGCCAACAAGAATCAATTTGCCAATCCAGTCAAGTTTGCTTGCTTGCTAGTCCGCCTAACGGAGCCAATCTGCATCTGCTTGTTTGCAAACCCATGTCCTATACCGCTATGAGTTTGACGGTTTTTAGTATATGGGCTTAGCCCATCAGAATTAGGGTTTCTAGGTTTTGCTTTTTATAAATATAGTTTATAATTTAGTATGATTAACAAATTAGTCACGATGTAGCCTGTTAAGGTTTTGTAGCCGTTTCGGTATTCTTGTCTATTAATAATATTCTTATTATTTTGTAATCATGTTTGTTCCGCCCTATGTATTCAACTTCAACACCTCTCTCTAGTTGGGTGGAGTTAGGCTATTATCCTTCCTATCGATAATGGTCTAATTTTGTATCTCCTACACTATTGAGCGTGTTGGTCGTGTTCACGGTGGTGGTAGTTCGGGTGAACATGTGGTTTGATTTGTAAGTGGTTTGATTCGAATATCTGAAGCCATTGAGGCTTTCTATCGGTTGGATTGTGTTTGATGAGGCACACCCTTTGAAAGCTTCAACTCGATCCTTTAGTTTTGGGTTTGTGCATTACAACACAATGCCTTTCATTACGGTGAAGTACATGGCCTCTAAGTTGAGGCCTTTGCCATTGCCATAGGAAATTTGATGCACACTTGCTGTAACATCCCATATCGCTTAGGGGAATGGATTCTATAAGCCTTATATGTATATTCCCATCTCTACCTAGCACGAGGCCTTTTGGGAGCTCATTGGCTTCGAGTTCCGTAAGAACTCTGAAGTTAAGCGAGTTCGCGCAAAAGCATTCTCAGGATGGGTGACTAACTGGGAAGTTCTCGTGTGAGTTCCCAGAACAAAACCATGAGGGCGTGGTCGGGGACCTAAAGCGGACAATATCGTGCTATAGTGGAGTTGAGCCCGAGATGTGGTGGGGGCCCAGGCGGGGATGTGACACTTGCCCAAATAGTTGCTTCAATATAAGGATTGTTGCTTCAATTTGCTGTGTTGCAATCCATGTGGCCTTAGTGTCCACAAATCTTATCTTTTTTCACAATCGGCGGAAACCTTTGGCGGCTGTTGGTGCTAAAGATTTTATGCAGGTTACCTTGGGCTCTTGGTGGCAGGGATGACGACGATGTCCACAGTGGCTCTGTCGTGTCGTGGGATCTGCAACCTCTGTTGTCCTTGCTACCCACACACCCACGTGGTCCTGCAGTCCACGCCTCCTACCATGTTTGTATCATGTCTTCCTTGTGGACACACTTATGGACATTTCATCAGCTTTAGTTAAGTTTGGCTTTAGTTAAGTTTTAAGATTTTTTTTTTTTTTTTGTAGCACTTTGAGTGGGTTAGATTAGTAGGTTTTGTGTTGCTCTTATGATCTGATTGTGTCGCTTATGTGATTTATGTGGCTTCGTTGTTGATAACTTTATGTCAGGGTACCGGTGTTAGGACTGTCACGTCTACCATCTTTTTGACAGTTTTACACGAGACTCTTGTTTGTGTTGGTTTATTGTGATAGTCGTATAGGGGTTTAAAATCTTTGCATCTTGTGCGAACTACCTCCAAATCAAGAAATTGTATCCATCTATTACCTCTTGTATTTGGTTGTTCTTAATAATGAAACACACTATGCTTCTATCAAATAAAAAAAATACTTAATCTGAGCGGAATGTCACATTGCTGAGTTGCCAACATCCTGCATTGAGTGCCTTATATCCGATTAGCGTGCCGAAAATGCTAAAATTTTTGGGATTGTAGCTATACTAATCATTTGCCTAAGCAATCATGCAAATACATTTGTGAAATCTGAACACTTCGACTTTGTACGAGTTATGGGGGTCGGTTTTGTAGGTCATTCCGATAGTGCCGTTGGTGCACTTGATGTAAAATCTGGACACGTTGATTTTCCCCAAATAGCTTTCTCTTTGCGGGAATTGAAATTTGGTGTCTTTTGGACATGGAATTTCCTAAACAAAGAGTCCACAACTTCTTAATACTTAAAAAAAAAAAAAAATGCTATTAGTACTTCCAAAATTTTATTTTATTTTTTTTATAAATGTATTTTTCTTTTTAATTATAGAAAATTTGGAGTACGAATTGAGATTTTTAGAGTGCCAATAACAATTCAAAAAAAAAAAACAAAAAAAAATTGTTCAACTAATTAAAGAACAAATTAAGAAACCAACACATAAATTTTAATTTTGAAATTTACAATAATATTTTTAATTGATAAATAAAGAAATGTTGACGTGGCCTAAGGGAAGGGATCCTCTCTGGTTCTTTTCTCCTAATCTACCAAATTAGGGAAGTTGAAATTTTTTTAAATGACTGAAATTATTATAACTTTTAAAGGTTTGTAGTCGTTAAATCAAATTTTAACGGTATAAATTTCTAAACCCCTTGCCGTGGCCTAATGCCTAGTGTCTTAATCGAAATCCTAAAAGGCACTTATGTCTGGTAAAAAAAAAAAACTTTTTAAGTTTTGAGCGTTTAAATCTAATTTAGCCCTTTCCTATTGGGATCCTGAGTTTCTGACCCAATTTCCTACCCTCTCTCCCCCGGCCAAGCCTCCTCCGCCGCCGCCCCCGGGATTCCACACCTTCTCCATCCTCTCCAGTATGTCTTCCCTTCACGTTTCCCCAAACACCATTTCTCAGACTCTCAATCTCCGCGGTCGATTCAGCCCCAACTTAGGCAGGGAAGTCCGACTAATCAACGTCCGGAGACCGGTCACTGGCTGCCTCAGCGTGGACGTGGAAGCACCCGATACCACCTCAAAACTAGAGATTTTGAAGAGCAACGAGGTTATGGAGATGGAGGCAAAGGTCCTGCTGCAGACCTACGCGAGGACTCCAGTGGTGCTCACCAGTGGCAAAGGTTGTAAATTGTACGACACCGAGGGGCGAGAGTATTTGGACCTGAGCTCGGGGATCGCGGTGAACGCGCTCGGCCATGGCGACGAGGACTGGTTGAAGGCTGTGGTTGATCAGGCCGGAACCCTCACTCACGTCAGCAATCTCTACTATTCGATCCCTCAGGTTTGCCCTTTATCAACTTGGATTCTATTGCTTGTTTGGTTGCCGAGAAAGTGTGGGAAAATTGTAAAAGATTGCATTTTGTGCATGAACGGCGTCGTTAGTATGGTTTTGGACTTGTGGGTATCGCTTGGTTGCCGAGAAAGTGTAGGAAAAATGTGAAAGATTGCATTTTGCGTCTAAACGGCGTCGTTAACTCTGATTATGGACTTATGGGAATTGGTTGGTGTGTTGTAGGTGGAGCTGGCAAAGCGTCTGGTGGGTGCTAGTTTTGCAGACCGTGTGTTTTTCACGAATTCCGGAACCGAAGCGAACGAAGCAGCCATTAAATTTGCAAGGAAGTTTCAGAGACATGCTCACTCTGATGCGAAAGAGCCGGCCACGAGCTTCATATCTTTCACAAACAGCTTCCATGGGAGGACCATGGGCGCTCTTGCCTTGACTAGCAAAGAGCATTACAGGTCCCCTTTTGAGCCTGTCATGCCTGGAGTCACGTTTGTGGAGTATGGAAATATACAGGCTACCAAAGAACTGATTCAGCCTGGAAAGACTGCCGCTGTTTTCGTTGAGCCGATTCAGGGTGAAGGGGGAATTTACAGTGCTTCAAAGGAGTTTCTGCAGTTTCTCCGTACTGCTTGTGATGATGCCGGTGCTCTTCTGGTATTTGACGAGGTAAGCAGCAGCTATTTGAACAAACTAGATGGTGTTTTTGTGCTGGCTTCTCTTGTTAACATTAGCACACTATAGTTTTATGGTTTATGCAAAATGGTTCTGACTTGGTTTGGTTAGGTTGGTAATTGCACTGGATGATTTGGTTTCATTGATCCCTTGGATAATGGTCGTTATGACCTCGACCCATCGTCACATTGAAAATTTCACTAGTAAATGTGTTGTATTTCCCCTTTTCCAACATGAAATATGAATTCTCGCATGATGCGTCTGATTATCTTGTATTAGATTCAATGTGGATTAGGTCGAACTGGCCATCTCTGGGCGCATGAGGCTTACGGTGTATTCCCAGATATCATGACACTGGCTAAGCCACTTGCTGGAGGACTTCCCATCGGAGCTGCATTGATGACTGAAAGAGTTGCTTCCGCCATAGCTTTTGGTGACCACGGAAGTACGTTTGCCGGTGCACCTCTTATCTGTAGTGCTGCCCTTGCCGTTTTTGAAAAAATATCCGATCACAATTTTTTGAATAGTGTCAGTAAGAAAGGTCTCTACTTCAAAAACATCTTAAAACAGAAGCTGGGAGGGAACCCACATGTTCGAGAAATACGTGGTCTCGGGCTTATTATCGGAATTGAATTGGATGTCTCTGCCTCACCCATTCTGGATGCATGTCGAAACTCTGGCCTGTTGATATTGACTGCTGGAAAAGGCAATGTTCTGAGGCTCGTACCTCCATTGATCATAACCGAGCAAGAGCTTGATGTTGCAGCCGACATTCTGTCTCAAGCTTTGCCAGTACTTGATGAAACTAACTCAAAATAGGAGGATGAAAATTGCATTTTGGTAGATGCTGCTTCTCAAGGTATTGTGTTGATATTATTGTAATTTTGTTGCTCTTACGGCGTAGTTTGTTATTAGTAATCACTCGATCTTGAAACTGTCTGCTAGAAATAAAAAATGTGGTGAAATTTCATCTAGTATGGTTCCTTTTGGGTTGAGTTTTCTTGTTATTTGGGTTCTGCCTCAAGTTTCCACAAAATTTCTCTCTTTTCCGAAAAGAATCAAAACCGGAAATTAAGTGTTCGATTACTAATCAACAACTCCATACTACATAAGACACCAGAATGCAGTAAAGAATAAATTGAATATTGAAAGATTATATCATCTTTCAGGAAGCCAAGTTGCTTTAACCTGGAAACCTATATGCTATTTCTTACAAGCTTTGCATCAAAAATTTACGAAAGTATGTAATTACATCGCATAACAAACAATTTTACCTGACCCTGTAAGCACTAGTAAGCCGGGACAAGTTGGAATTCAACTGTTTGCAGACCGAGCCTCTGCTTATTTTTGTGCCACGGCATGAATCGTTTGAAGATTGTAGGGACTGCAGAGAGTCAAGATATCCATTGAGCCAGAGTGCTAAAATGCAGAATTCTTTTTCTTAAAATGATACACTGCCAAAGCACGCCCGGACTTCAAAGCTAGATTCTCATAGTTTTCACAAAGTTTCTGCACTTGGAACTACCACAACTTTCCCATCCTGCTTACTTCACTGTGATTTTTTACTTTGTGGCTCATATGATGGCTATCGATTGTGAGTACTGTGTATATGCTCCTCAGCCTCCTCTTCACTTCACTGGCCGGACACCAACAGTTTTTACACGGAATCTATACTGAGGTTGAGAGTCTTCATCGTCATCATCTTCACTAGAGTCATCTTCCACTCTGTCCCACCGTGCATAGTCCAGAGAAGAGTGTCCCTTTGGCTTCGGGATTGCTTGCCATCCTTTGTCTTTTTCTTTTTCAGACGATGCCTTGACGTGCTCTGCACGAGGGGTCACAACTTCAGCTGGGGAAGTGGTCTTCATCGAGTTACCTTTTGGATCCCTTCCCTGTTGAGAAACTTCCCTGTTTACTGGTGTCGTAGGGGCAATAACATTGGCAACAGCAGTTGTCTCATTAACCTCAGGAATCTGATCCCTTCCTCCACCTGAAAATACATCTTCTTTTTCTTCGTATTGCTCCTCTTTCTCCTGATATCTATCTGGCTCTGCTTCATCCTCCTCCTCGTCTTCCTCTTCTTCTAGCTCTGCTTCGGATTCAGGTATTGGAGCAAGTGACTTTCCTCGAGCAGAAAAAATGAACTCTTTACTCACAGCCATGAAAATGACAATTGCAAATTTATGATTTCAGCACCGACTGCACTGCTGCTGCTGATGGTGATGTTCATATATGTAAATTTTTTGGAACAGCGGTGTTCATAATTGCAAACACAAACACAATGATGACTATGATGCTTATAATTCAACAAAATCTCCCAAATAACACTGAACAAGAAAATTCAACAATGTGTAAAACAATGAGAAAAGCAGAAGGAAGAAGGGCATTATACCACTTGTGTCTTTAGACGGGCTTGAAGGTTTTGATAAACTTCCGATGATGGATTTAGCTCGATAAGACGATGAACATCGAAGAGCGCCGAGTGATATTCCTTGAGGGTCACCAGGGTCTGCGCCCGCAACATCAATGCTCCAGTGTGATTGTAATCAAGCTCAAGAACTGAGGTACATTCATCTGCTGCCTAAGATATAGTCAAATGAAGTCAACCAACAAATCAATTATTTTTAATCACAACGAAATTCCTACCATCAATTCCATATTTCTTCCTGCAAATCAAAATCGAGAATCCAGAACGCGATTCTCAGCTGAACTCGTAATTAGAAAACACAAATTACTTGCCATAATCAACTCATTAAGATCAAAATTATGAAAACTGCGCAATTTTCAACTGAATAATCGTGGTTTGAACTCTCAATATCCACACTTCCGTTGCAATCATCGTTCCAAAATACGAATTGCTTGTTCTAATCAACTCATAGAGATCAAAATTTTGATAAATCTACAATTTCGTACAGCAAGAGGGAAAAAAGCGCGAACCTTTTTGAAATCGTGAAGCTTCAAGAAGCAAGCAGCTCGGTTGCTGTGGAGGGCGATCTTCTGGGGTTTGGTCCTGGCCATGGACAGGGCTTCGGTGTAAAACCCTAGCGCCTCCGAGTAGCTACCTTCCCGGTGCATCTGGTGGGCCCGCTCGATCCTGTTCACCGGCGCCGCCGACGCCATCGTGTCCTCCTCCTCCTCCGCCTCCGCCGGCCAATCTCATCCGCCGGAAATTTCACAGAATTGGTCAGTGTTCGGTTGTTATTATTGCCACCGGCAAATCAATCGGAGAGAGTGAGAGTTTCGGTCGGGGGAGATTTCGAATTGCTGATTTACAAAGCTGGAGTCTGAGACAGCGATTTTGACTTTTTATTTATTTATTTAAATTTAATGGTGTCACGTGAGCGTGGCTGCCGGCACGTGAATTCAACCTGGCAAAACGAGTGCGAGTGTGGGAGGAGTTCAAACCCGTTTGGTGGTTACAGTACTATTAACAAGAAAAACACCACCAAATTACTAATTAGTTCAATAAACAAATTTAATTAAAAAAAATCAGTATGAATATTTTTTTTGTCATTTTTTTGAAATATATTACAAGGAGAAGTTCTTAAGGCTTAACACATCATAGTGATAAAAATTAAAAGGCGTAGAGTATATACAAATAAAAGCAATCACACTATAAGTGATAAAGTGAGAAGATATTTCTCCGTTCTCTCTTCAAAAATAGAGAGAGCTAAAGGTGTGGTTCTGATGGAAAGTTGAAATGACATTTTGATTTTTGTTGAAATGCGAGAGAAGATGAAATGAGATGAAACGTTGTGTTATACTCGGTAAGGGGGTTTCAACTTCACGTAATTTGGTCATATTAGAACAATTGTAAATAAGTCAAATTTAGGTATTGTGGGCATCCCTTAAGTTAAATAACGACCTTAATGAGAGCTAGATGTGCCCTTATTTTTGTATTATGATCTTGTTTTCTTTCTGTAAATACTACTGTAGGACCCATTTTTACGTTTCATATACATTTGTTAATTTTTTATCATTAATCTTCTTCAATTTATTCCAATTTGATGGTTGAAAATTAAGAGGGTTGTGTGAAACATAGAAGTGAGTGTGTGGATAACACTACTCCAAAGGTAATGGATTAACAACAATATAGAACTTGCTTTTTCATCGAGATGCTTTGGACGCAGTTCTTGTTAACTTAGAAATAGGGAACGTGAACGTTTTGGCTCACATCCTTATACCCTCAACATTCTTTGAATTGTCACGTTGGCAAAATCACATTTAAAAAAATGGTTGGCGATGCTTTTATATTTGGAAACTTTAATGAAAAACTCTCGATACTGTTCACTTTAACGAAAAATCAAATTTTACACTACAAAATCAATTATAGTACTATTCACTTTACCATTTATTTTATCCTTCCCATTAAAACTCAAAGTTTTCAAATCCTTTTCATTAATTTTTCCTTTATATATATTTTTAGAGATTTTTAGAAACCATATTAAAGAACAAAGAAAATGACAAAAATAGAACACGTGTTACTTAATTCAAGCAAGGAGAACCTATGGGATGAGAGATCTCACGCATCTGAATGTGCCAACGTGGCAACGGTAAAATACCAATCAGAAAAATCACAAAGGAAATTGTTTTATTTTTTTTATTGGTCGCAAAAGAATTATTGAAATGTCGCAAATTATTGAAAAGAAGTCTGCACTGCATAAACCCTAAAATCCAAATTGGGAAGATTGGGTAGGATTTTGCCCTAGTGCTGCCGTCTTCGTCTATTCACAGGTAACGTTAATTTCTCCTAGCATCGGTTTCGTGCTTTTAGCTTCTGCATTCAAACTTTCCTGCTCTTCGAATTCTTCGAGCCCTTTTGAGATTATTTACGTAAATTAGCTCATTCGAAATCGTAAAAACACAAACAAAATATTGGGTTTTGTTTGTTTGGTTTGAATTATCTGTATCTGTACTTCTTTTTGTAATCTGTGGAAGTTTGGGGTTTTGGGATAATCCTCTGTTTATCTTAATTCAATTTGGAAAAATAGGCTGCAGAAAAGAAGCGGGGGTGGATTTATGGCTTAAATGGGGAAGAATATGTGTGAGTGTGTACGTGTTCTAGTTTTCGTTGGCGGGCGTTATATTTATATTTTGTGTAGTTTGATAGCTGTAATTTTGATTATACTCATAAGATGGGTTTTGTTTAATTTTTTGAGTTTTCATGTAACCAAAGAAGTAACAAGGACACCATTCACTTCACTTGTGTACAAATTATGTTTTGCAACGATTGAGGTAGCGAAGTTGTTAAGTTGTCTAGATCTTTAGAATTCCTACATGCACAATTTTGTTATTCTTTTGTTTTCAAACTTCTGATAAGAAGCTTGGTACTATTTCCGAGATAGAAATATGATATTGTTTTTATGGTTCAATTATGAGCGAAAGTGGTTCTTCTTGTCTCGTGCATTGTAAGGGTGCGGTGAATTTGAGAAAATGGTGGCTTTTGATAAAGTTGATTCATGTTGTGCACTACATTGTTTTCCACTAGTGTATACAGATAGGATAGCTTTTGAAGGACTTGAGAAGGATTGGAAGAACTCTAGACATTTGTAGCTTCAAATTGTCTTGCAATAGGGGAAGCATTGAATAAATCAAAGAAGGATTATGATTTTCTGTTGAATATTTAGATTGTGACATTTGTTATTATCATTTTGGTTTTGACCGGAATCATCCATATATGAATAAAGGTAAAGGAAAACACCAAATTTGACCAATATGCATCATTATGCGAGAGTAAAAGAGAAATAGAAAGATATGCAAATTCCACTGAAATGGAAGCAAAACTTTAAACTGTGGGGAAAGAGCTAGAATGCTTGTTTTTGTAGGAGATGCGGTGAACAAAGTAGAATATGCAGGGGGAAAATACAGCCTATTTTAGTTTATTTTTCACTTTAAACTTTGTGATTACAACTACTTTTATTTATTTTGTTTTATCTTATTTCATATAGTATTTCTGACCCATTTTGGTAAGCCATGAACAGGAATCTGGTGGACTTTGGTGATATAGTCTTTACAGTTTTCAACAACAGAAGTTGTTTATATCATTTTAATTTTAATTTGGTGAGCTGGGATACATATGGCTAGTTTTTCCCCTGCTGAAGCCACTCATCTTAAAGACATTCAGGACAGGATAGAGGAAGGATCCTGTTGGTACTTCTACAGAAAGGAAATTGAAGAAAATTCTCCATCTAGACGAGACGGCATTGACTTGAAGAAAGAGACATATTTACGCAAGTCATACTGTTCTTTTCTACAAGATTTGGGTATTAGACTTAAAGTGTGAGTTTTTGAGCATTATCTCTTATTTTGTTTTCACTTTTCCTTTGTCTCAACCAATCAAATTTCTGTCAGTTGTGATTCCGTCTTTAGTAGTATGTTTTTAATCTTAAACTAAGAATAAATCTATGTAACTCAATTGATTTTCTTTTTATTTCATTATTGGATATTGTTTAGGGCTTAGAGTTTAGGGTTTAGTCTTAGGGGATTTAGAGATCTAAATCACTTAAACCCTCTAAGAAATGCAAAGCCTTACTCAATAAACTCCAACATTCCCTACGCAATAGCTACTAAACCTTCTATCGAACAAAAAAAAAAAGTAGCTGTATAAAGGAGACTCTTGTGACAAACGGATTGATCAAGTATTTGTTAATGGTTATGTATATGTAGATAAGTGTCTTGTTTAAATGTTATTCTAGAAGTGATAGTGCAGTATATATACTGCATCAATGGGTTTAATTGATAATAGTGATATAAAACATGATGGTGCATGTGTCTAATAAAAAAATTTCAAAAGCATTAGTTGCTTTAGGAAAGAATTCCCTAGTGCTTTGTAAAGCACCTAACGAATTAAAAGTAGAAGAAGAAGCAGAATCATGTTTTCTTGGAACTTAACGAGTGGATGATGGGATAGTTTCAAATGCAAATTGCAAAAGCATAACCCATTTGAAATGCAGTTCAGATTGAGGATGCATTTTTGGGTGATATGAGAGCATTCTTACCTTAGGAACGTACTATGTTTGAATGCTTTCTTTAATCCTGATTTGTGTATGAATTGAATTAGGATTATTTAAGTCTTATGAGGGGAAAAAGTCTAATTGAACACATATCCAATTCATACAGTTACCTGACAAAAGAGACGTGTTGTTCTTTTAAAAAGTCAAAAGAGGTTATTATGCATGTAAGTTTAGACATAGACATATTCATATATGTTTTGAATTAACTAGTCATCAGCACTGAAGGTAGCCAGCATGCTCGTAGTCCCTTCTAAATGGTAATTTTGAAAACAGAATTAACTTTGAGTTGAATCTTACTCAATAGCCCTGTAGGTTTGAAATCCTCATGTTAACCACTGGAATGATCATTGCCAATATTCTACCATATAGTATGTTTATATATATCTTTTATCTTGTTTTGACTCATTGGTTCAGCATGATGAAGATCCTGAATACTTTGTTATGCAGACCCCAGTTGACGATTGCAACATCCATAATTTTCTGTCATCGATTCTTTCTTCGTCAATCACACGCAAAGAATGATAGAAGGGTGAGTACTTGAAACCTGAATTCCCCACCCCCTATAGTTTGCATTGTCTATTATTCTATGTCTGAGTTAGCTTTAGACTTTTTACCTGGGGTGAACGCTCACCCATTAGTTACTACAAACTTGAAGATTCGTCTAACTTTTATTGTACTTGTGTTGCTAATAGCAAGCAAGGCAATGGGAGAATAAATTGATGTCATAAATCCATGTACCTTGCAATTTGTATAACCGAGCCATGCTTTCTATTGCACCTGTGGATTTCTGATGACTTTTATTAATGGAGCAATGGTATTAAGCCGTTTAGCACATAAATCTTATCATACAGTCAGGGGATTCTCTTATTTGTTGGAGTATACGCAATGGCTCACAAATATGCCATGATGTTCTTGAAATCCCCATTATTTAGCCTCAAGTGTGCCGTAATCCCCAGTATCTGGGTCAGGGAAAATGACCTTGTCCACCCTTTTTAAAGGATATATCTTGTTGTTTTACTTAGGTGGGATTTGGGGTGGGGGATAAAGTATTAAGGTTCATAAATGTGAAATCTGCAGGAGTCAATGTATCAGAGAACTCTTTCTCAAACTTTACATTGTCGCTATATAAAGGAAATAACCAGACTTACTTATATCATCGCAAAGTTCAATTTCAACCTTTGTATATGTGCACCTGTGGCGTACATGTGTCGTAGGAAGCAGGTAGAATTTAGGGTTTTATTAATCTTGGTATAGAAAGAAGAGTCATGGACAAATGATTAAATTTTGTTCACTAAACTCAATTCAAATGTGCCGCAGACAATCGCGACAGTGTGTATGTTTCTTGCTGGGAAGGTTGAAGAAACTCCTCGGCCATTAAAGGATGTTATCCTTGTGTCTTATGAAATTATGCACAAGAAGGATCCTAAAGCAGTACAGAGGATCAAGCAAAAGGTGTTTACTAGAGTGTCTACCTCATATATTAAGATTTTCTTATTGATGCTATTTATCTGGTATTAACTCATTCAGATCTTTATTATTTTGAAGGTAGTCATGGTGTGCGTAACATTGTTTTTTCTGGTCTACTATACAAAGTTATCAGCTGTTTTGCCTTATTTTTTTGTTATGGAATGACATGTCAACTAAACACACCCGAGTGGTGGACTAGACATTTGCATACTTGTGTTGCAATTTTACAAAACAAGATGTACTGTTTTCTTATAAACAAAAGTTTGTTTCTTATTTAAAAAATAATGAGCTGCTAAATCTTCTAGAGTGAACTTTGATTAACTGTTATTTTCTTCCATTTATTTTGGTATTTCTTTTTGTCTGAAAATGATACTATTGCATGATCCTAGAATGTGTATTCTCTATCTAATTCTGCTTGACTCGTGGCATAATCCAAGTTGAAATCCTGCAGGAGGTATATGAACAGCAGAAAGAATTAATTTTAATTGGTGAGAGGGTTGTTCTTGGGACTCTTGGTTTTGATCTTAATGTACTCCATCCATATAAACCCCTTGTTGAGGCGATAAAGAGATTCAAAGTAGCTCAAAATGCCCTTGCTCAAGTTGCATGGAATTTTGTTAACGATGGGTATGCTTATCATAGATCATATATGCTATTTTTGGCCCTTGTTCATTCCGTTCCTGAAATTGGAATGTGCCATGCAGACTTCGGACATCTCTATGTTTGCAATTTAAACCCCAGCACATTGCAGCTGGTGCCATTTTTCTTGCTGCCAAGTTCTTAAGAGTAAAGCTCCCGTCAGATGGCGAGACAATCTGGTGGCAAGAGTTTGACGTCACCCCACGCCAATTGGAGGGTGGGTGTCCTCATTTTTAATTCAGTAGGTGATGCTACAGAGCAATCAACAGTGTCCTTACCTTCTCACAATATCTTCATCACTCCAGATTACTCCTTTACTTGCATCCCTCTAATTATTTGTGTTACTCGATATAGATTGTAGGTTTGAGGATGAACTAAAAGAGTTTTAAATAAATTAAGAAAATTGTTAGATGATCATGTGATCGTATGGGTGTCAGCTCTAATTGTACACATTTATTTGTGCAGAAGTTAGCAATCAAATGTTGGAACTGTATGAACAAAATCGAGTTCCAGCTTCCAATCAAGTGGCAGATGGTGCAGGTAGTGGTGGCCCTCATCGGACTCCAGCCAAAGGTACAGCTAGCAATGAAGAACATGCTACAAGCAACAGTCATCTACACGCTGGAGCTACAAGGCCTGAAACCTTGAAGCCTGCATCATCTACGCCAGAACCTGAGCAGTCAGTTGTTGGAAATGATGACGGATCTCCTAGAACTACAAAATGTCGAAATAATGACTACAGAAGTACTGAAATAAAATATGATCTGGACCAGAATGTTGATGTAGAATCCAAAGATAATCAACACGCTGCACCATTGTCATCCAACCAGGAGAAGATTGGAGATTCTCAAAACGTATCAGAATTTCAGTCAGAGGGACGTGATGAAGAAGGTCAAGAAGATAATGGGAAACTTGATACAATAGAAACCCAGAAGTTGAAGGACAAACAATTAGGTCAGAGCCTGGAAAATGGGCAAGGTTCACTTGGCCAGTCACCTCAGAATGTTATAAAGAAGATTGACAAAAACAAGGTGAAGGCAGCATTGGAAAAACGACGGAAGAGCCAAGGGGATATGGGTCGAAAAAAGGACTTGATGGATGAGGATGATCTGATTGAGAGGGAACTGGAAGATGGTATTGAACTGGGTTCTGGGAGTGAGAAAATCAAGGGAGACGGGAGTCAAAGCTTACCTAAGTCCTCAACCACACCAGAAAATGTGGACCTGCATCCAGGAAAACATCAAGAGGGTGTCTGGGATGATGGAACTGATCTAAATAGTGTAGAAGGTGAGGTATCTGCACTCGCTGATGGTGGCCAAGGATCTTCCATTTTAAGTGACCGCAAGAGAAAAGCAGTAACCGCTCCACTTGATGATGTAGAGAAGAAGCAGCGGCATGATTATGAACCTGGAACCCCGAACCATAATCAGTTTGATCATAAAGAAGATCACAGCAGGGCGGGCCTGGTCGGACACACTGATATGGATCACATAAGGCCAGTACAGGAAAATCCTGTCTGAGGTGGTGTGTACCGCTTGCAGTAGCTGAAGATGTCTTGATATAATCACTTGCAAGCTCTCTTCTTGTCCAAGTGTATATTGTGATTTGTTCAGAGACCGTCCTTGGTATGCTCTAATCCGTTGGCTTCGGTGCCTTTACTGACTTCCGTATATTTCTTCCCCACTGTCATCATTTGCGGATATAAACATTGGGATGAATGCGAGGTCTACGAGACCATTTCATCTCATCTTATTCTAAGAATGTTTTTGACACTTTGTTGATGGAAATGGTTAAGTAGGGAAGAAACTTTTGGCATATTGTTGAATCCATCAATTATATAATTCAATGATTAGCAAATTGCGCATCTTTTTCCCTCTGCATATGATCCATATTTGATTTGGTTTTCTGTTCCTTCTACACTTTCCCCCCTAATTTCGATGAATTTCGTGTACGCAATGAATTTCATCTTGTGTCTCACAGTACCTCAGTTCATCAACTTTCTCCACTGACTTGTTTAGTTTTAATTACGAGATACTCGATTCATATTATTTGTACCGTGTTTTAATTATCAAAATTAGGCATTTAAAAGGGTGTATTCAATTTAGAGTCTATAATCCTTATATTTGATAAAGTTTTATTGATTTATAGAGATTTTATGTTTGAGAGAATTTTCTCGTAGAGATGCTGAATTTGTTAAAACTTAAATACGCTCTAAAGTTCCTCTAAATTCACCAAAACCATCCACGGCATGCTTACTTATAGTGGAAGGAATGGGATGTGAATGAGTGGGTATAGGATATCAACTCCAGTCTTGGATGATTCTATTACTTCACTTCGAGGTTATGAGAAGGCATGGGATACCCATATACATTTTTTTTTTCATTTTTTAGTCGTTAATAAATACATGAATGAAAATGATGCACATTTCTTACATTCATTTCTTATAAGAAAATATGCTATAAAATTGAATCCTAATCGAATACATATGTACTTTTAAGACGTCTGCATTCATAAAGGGTTACAGAGCATGAGTCCCTCCAAAGTATTAGTTTCCAATGTATTGCTAGGATAATTTTTTTTTTTGTCTATAGCAATAGAGAGCTAGTCATTTAGAAATACCATATAGTAATAATTTTATTCATTTGTCAATGAGAAGTGTTGATGCACAAAATCAGTGAGGACTTTGATACAACAGAAAGTGTTAAGTTTGTGACCTTCGCTAGATTGCTTCGGTCACTAATGTGGATAAGTATGTAAATTGATAGAGACAGGAAAGCAAACACAAGATGTACGTGGTTCACCCAGATTGGCCACGTCTACGGAGTATAGGAGTTTTCATTAATTGTGAAGGTTTACACAAGTACATAGGTTCAGGCTCTCCTTTTGTGAGTACTAGTGAATGATTTAGTGCAAATGACATTAGGAAATATTGTGAGAGAATGATCTCTATTTATAGAAGAGAGTTTCTAGTTTCATTCTGACATTGACACGTGTCGTGTTGTGATTGGCCTCTGATGTTGACACGTGTCGCGCTATGATTGGCTTCTGATGTCGATACGTGTCGCGCTGTGATTGGCCTCTTGGTTGGAGGGAAACTCTTATGGGTCCTTGACGGTATAACGTTGACCGGTGCTCAGTAGTTTCGGGATTGGTCAAGTATGGTACAAACAGTGCTCCCTTAAGTTCCCGAGTGAGGGAAGTTCCTCGGTTGGGGACTTGCAAGATCCATGCCATTGAGTAATCACGAAACTTCTAAGTACCGAAGTGTGGTATCATTTTCACTTGCCTTATCTGTCTCATATGTAGATGTGGCATCTTCTCTGGAAGTACTTTTCATTCATCTAAGGGTGGTATCTTTAACCGATGAAGATGCACAAGGTAATGTATCAATTCACTTGAAGCTTACTTGTAGTTTCGGGCTTGGTCAAGTGCGATACAAACCCTATAGTAGGAGTCCCCTAAGTCGCCGAGCTAGGAGATTTGTTGAATGAGGTAACAGATAAGGTAAGCAATCAGACTTCCAAGCAAGCAACCTGGATCGGAGGTTCGACTTCGGCTTCCGGTTGATTGTTCTTCTTCTCCTTGTGTCGTAAACAGCAACAAGGATAAGGAGAAGCAAATGAAGAAGAGATGATATGAGATACTTTTGCTTTTGAAAAAGTAACTTTCCACATATTTATTCTTGAACTGGGCTGGAGGGTTTTCTGGTTTCCTCCAGAGTATAAGGCCGACTCAAGAATTTGAGGGTCAAAACAAGTCCATCAAATCTAGAGTACGTTCGACCCTGATGATATAAGATACTTTTGTTGTTACGCTTTTGTCCACATGCTTCCTTGTATCCTTCTCACTTGCCATATCTGTTCCTTAGGCAGATATGGTATCTTCTCTGGAAGCATACGATGTTGAAGATGAGTACTCGAGAGCAATGTCAGGTAAGTAATCAGGCAAGGGGTTCCAGGCAGTCAGTTCCTGACTGGAAGCTTGATTCCAAGTGCTGACTGATTACTCTCTTTCTCCTTGTCTTGCAGGTCAGAACAAGGCCAAAGGAAAAGACAGGAAAAAAGCATGATATGGGATACTCCTGCTTTTAACCCTGATGATATGAGATACTCTTACTCTGGTGTGGCTTGTTTGCAGAGGTATTATCGGGAGGAAAAAAAGCTGAGTATTTCGAAAGACTTTGTTGAGAGTGCCCTCTCGGATGTGAAGAAAAATTGAGCATTTTTTTTATTTACAGGTCTGCCTGACTATGGAGGATGGAGGTCGACATATATAGGAGTCTCCCTAACAACAAGTAGTAGTGTTATTCCTTTACCCTTCTTGGTCATAGTAATGTAGTGGGAGCTGCAAGCTTCACATGTTTTAACTTTGTTAGATCACTTTGAAAAAGTGGTCTGTGGTATCTGGAAAGCTGATGTTGCGTGTGACGATTGCATACAAGCTTTATCCAAGGAAATCTGGCTCTCGAAGTTCGGAGAGCGATGCCTCTTCGGTTTTCGAGATTCAGAGATCAGTGTCAGAGCACTTTGAAAAAAATGGTATGTGGTATCTGTAAGGGATCTGGCTCTCGAGATTCAGAGAACGGTGCCTCTTCGATTTTTGAGAAAGCAATCATGTTGGGAGTCTAACTCTTGAGATTCGGATAGCAGTTCTCTTCGATTTTTTAGAAAGTAATCTTGTTGGAAGTCTGGCTTTCGAGATTCAGAAGGCGGTGCCTCTTCAATTTTTGAGCAGGTAATCCTGTTGGGAGTCTAGCTCTCGAGATTCGGAGAGCGATGCCTCTTCGATTTTTTAGAAAGCAATCATGTTGGGAGTATGACTCTTGAGATTTGGAGAGCAGTGTCTCTTTGATTTTTTAGAAAGTAATCATGTTGGGAGTCTGGCTTTCGAGATTTGGAGGGCGGTGCCTCTTCGATTTTTGAGCACGTAATCCTATTGGGAGTATGGCTATCGAGATTCGGAGAGCGGTGCCTCTTCGATTTTTGAGAAAGCAATCCTTGGAAGCTTGACTCTTGAGATTCGGATAGCAGTGTCTCTTCGATTTTTTAGAAAGTAATCCTGTTGTGAGTCTGGCTCTTGAGATTCGGAGGGCGGTGCCTCTTCGATTTTCGAGCAAGCAATTTTGTTGGGAGTGTTTTCTCGAATGTGAGTAAAGGTTGGGCATTTTTTACAGTATGCCTTGCCACGGAGCACGGAGGTTGACACATATTGAGACTTTCTAGTTATCAAGCAGTGGTGTTGTTCCTTTACCCTTGTAGGTAATAGTAGGGTAGCTGGACCTTCAAAATTTATATGTCTAAACTTTGTCAGAGATCTTTGGCAAAATTATCTATGGTACCTGAGGAGCTGATGTTGCGTGTGGAAAGTGGTGCCTCTTCGAAATCCAAAGAGTGGTGCCTCTTCGATTTTTCCTTTTGTTGAATCTTGTATGTTGAAGCTTTGTGAGTGAAGCATGTAGGTTAAGGTAGTGCTCCCTTCATTTCCCGAGTGAGGAAAACTTCTCGGTTGGAGACTTGAAAAAATCCAAGTCACTGAGTGGTCGTGAGACTTCCGAGTATCAAGGTGCAGTAGCATATGGTAGGAGTTCCCCAAGTCTCCGGTTGAAGGAGTTGACGAATGAGGTGTCTTGCTAGTAGCCAAGTTTCCAAAGTAACAAAACTTCACCATTTTCCTTTCTAAATGGTAGCCCAAAACTCCTCTTTCATATATATTTGTTATGAAAGTTGTTAGGCCCAAAGAAGATGAGGCCTAGGCAATTTTTTTTTTTTTTAATTTTCGAATTTCGAATTTTCGAATTTTAAAATTTTTGAATTTCCGAATATATATATATATATATATATATTAAGCTTTATAGGTGAAGTTTTGTAGGTGAAGCTTTGAGGTTGAAGCTTTGTTGGGTACCATGAATTGATTTTGCTTCACACTATCTTGATCAAGATAGTATGAAGCTTTTGTAAGTAAAGCTTTTGTATTGAAGCTTTGTAGGTGAAGCTTTTGTGGGTGAAGCTTTTGTGGGTGAAGCTTTTGTGGTGGGGGAAATTTTTGTGAGTGAAGCTTTTATGGTGGGGGAAGCTTTTGTAGGGGAAGTTTTTGTGGGTGAAGCTTTTGTTGGTGAAGCTTTTATGGGTGAAGCTTTTATAGGTGAAGCTTTTGTGGTGGGTGAAACTTTTGTGGGGGAAGCTTTTGTGGGTGAAGCTTTTGTTGGTGAAGCTTTTGTGGTGGGTGAAGCTTTTGTGGTGGGTGAATCTTTTGTTGGTGAAGTTTTTATGGGTGAAGCTTTTGTAGGTGAAGCTTTTGTGGGTGAAGCTTTTATGGGTGAAGTTTTTGTAGGTGAAGCTATTGTGGGTGAAGTTTTTGTAAGTGAAGCTTTGGAGTTGAAGCTTTGTAGGTGAAGCTTTGGAGTTGAAGCTTTTGTTGGGTACCATGAATTGATTTTGCTTCACACTATCTTGATCAAGATAGTGTGAAGCTTTTGAGAATTTGTAGTTGTCCTCCATTGATGAAGCTTTTATTGGTGAAGCTTTGTTGGGTACCACGAATTGATTTTGCTTCACACTATCTTGATCAAGATAGTGTGAAGCTTTTGAGAATTTGTAGTTGTTCTCCATTGATGAAGCATTGTTGAATTTCAATTTTTTTTTCTGGGAAACTAGAAATTTGAAAATGTGGGAGAGATAACATATACAAATTTTGCTTCCACACTGTTGAGCAAGAGATTGTGATGCAAGCCACACCTTGTAGTAGTCGAAGGTTTGGATGAACCATATAAATTGAATTTGCTTCGAACAGTCTTGAATTTGCCTCGAAGGTTTGAGAATTGTAGTTGTTTTCCATTGATGAAGCTTTTGTTGGCACCATAAATTGGTTTTGCTCACACTGTTTTGATCAAGAGTGTGTGAAGCTTTTGAGAATTGTGGTTGCCCTCAATTGATGAAGCTCTTGTTGGCACCATACATTGGTTTTGCTTCACACTATCTTGATCAAGAGTGTGTGAAGTTTTTAAGAATTGTGATTGAACTCCTTTGATGAAGCTTTTGTTGGGACCATAAATTGGTTTTGCTTCACACTGTCTTGATCAAGAGTGTGTGAAGCTTTTGAGAATTGTGGTTGCCCTCCATTGATGAAGCTCTTGTTAGCACCATAAATTGGTTTTGCTTCACACTGTCTTGATCAATAGTGTGTGAAGCTTTTGAGAGTTGTGGTTGAACTCATTTGATGAAGTTTTTGTTGGCAACATAAATTGGTTTTGCTTCACACTGTCTTGATCAAGAGTGTGTGAAGCTTTTGAGAATTGTGGTTGCCCTCCATTGATGAAGCTCTTGTTGGCACCATAAATTGGTTTTGCTTCACACTGTCTTGATCAAGAGTGTGTGAAGTTTTTGAGAATTGTGGTTATCCTTCATTGATGAAGCTCTTGTTGGCACCATAAATTGGTTTTGCTTCACACTATCTTGATCAAGAGTGTGTGAAGCTTTTGAGAATTATGGTTGTCCTCCATTGATGAAGCTCTTGTTGGCACTATAAATTGGTTTTGCTTCACATTGTCTTGATCAAGAGTGTGTGAAACTTTTGAGAATTGTGGTTGAACTCCTTTGATGTAGCTCTTGTTGGCACCATAAATTGGTTTTGCTTCACACTGTCTTGATCAAGAGTGTGAAGCTTTCTACGAGTTGTAGTGTTTGCATTGTTACAGAGTGGAAATGTCTGAAGCAGATGCAAGAGGGCTGAATAACTTAATCTTCGTATGTCATGCACTGAAGTTGTTGTTGGCTTGCAATAAGACTTTGTTGGTGACTATAACTCTTGTTGGACATAAGTGTTCCCCTAGTTGAGTTGTCAAGCTTGATGATTTTTTATTATTTGTGAATGCTAGGAGTTCACATGTACAAGTTGTACCACTCGTCTTCTGGTAGGTGGAATGAATGGTGGGTTGCTTTCTTCACTTGGTTGGTGATATGAAGGTGAACTCCTTCATCACATTTCATCACCTGGTTGTTGGCACGAGGATGAGTTCCTTCTTCACATGGTTGGTGGCATGAATGGCAAGTTGCCAAATGATATTATAGTACGGGTTGTACATTTCATCACCTGGTTGGTGGCATGAATGAGAGTACGGGTTGTACATTTCATCACCTGGTTGGTGGCATGAAGATGAGTTCCTTCTTCACCTGGTTGGTGGCATGAGTGGCAAGTTGCCAAATGATATTAGAGAACTGGTTGTACATTTCATCACCTAGTTGGTGGCATGAAGGAGAGTACGGGTTGTACATTTCATCACCTGGTTTGTGGCATGAAAATGAGTTCCTTCTTCACCTGATTGGTGGCATGAGTGGCAAGTTACCAAATGATATTAGAGTACGAGTTGTACATTTCATCACCTGGTTGGTGGCACGACGATGAGTTCCTTCTTCACCTGGTTGGTGGCATGAATGGCAAGTTGCCAAATGATATTACAGTACGGGTTGTACATTTCATCATCTGGTTGGTGGCATGAAGAAGAGTACGAGTTGTACATTTCATCACCTGGTTGGTGGCATGCAGATGAGTTCCTTCTTCACCTGGTTGGTGGCATGAGTGGCAAGTTGCCAAATGATATTAGAGTACGGGTTGTACATTTCATCACCTGGTTGATGGCATGAAGGAGAGTACGAGTTGTACATTTCATCACCTGGTTTGTGGCATGAAGATGAGTTCCTTCTTCACATTTCATCACATGGTTGGTGAGAATAAGGGCAAGGTGTCGAGGCACATTGTAGTGAGTGTCAAAGACACAAAGTATGTTGAACCCTTTCGAAGCATAGTTGGCTTATGTATGGATGTGCTGAAATGTATGATGTTTATGTATGAATGTGTTGGAATGTATGATGTTTATGTATGAATGTGTTGGAATGTATGATGTTTATGTTGATTGATATGAGTGATGCTTATGAATTTTTGCTATGCATGAAGGGATCCATGCTTTTGATATGTGAACCATGTTGGTTGTAACACTTAGTATCACATACTTTGTGTCAAAGTAAGCATGTTGAAGCTCTGAGTTAGAGTATAAGGGTAGGTCAGCGTAGACCAACTGTTCTAGTGCTAGGAACGCAAAAGACTCAGAAGAAGTTGTCTGAATTCCCTCTTCTTTAAATATTTGCCGAATGACTTATGTGACAAAAGATCTCAAGCGGTTGAGAGTCAAAACATTTGTAATGTGTATGCCTTCTTATAATAGCATTTCTTCAATACCTAGTCCTCCACTTTGAAAGAGTGAGGCTTGGCCCCATAGTCATAATAGTCGACGGTACGTTCACCCCTGGTTGTCTTGATACGAACTTTTATCCCTCTTGTTGTAATAGGCTTGCTGAGAGTAAAAATCCTTCCTCTTACCAAAAGACAAATACGTTTGGTGACTTAGCGAGTAGCTAAATGAGGCAGGAGATGATGCAATGGATGTCTGAATGGCCAATATCTCCTCACTTGGTAGAACTTGACTTCCACTTCCCATTTGTTGATAGGGGTTAACTATATGGGGGTTCCATTGGTATGTCCTTGCTTCGGCGGAGGCGTGGTTGTAAGCATGTGCCATCACCTCAAAGTAAGTCTTCCAAGTGTTGGCATTGATCATGTACTTGAAGAAACAATCACGTAGGCCTGCCGTGAAGGCCTTAAGGGCGGTCTTGTCATATGCCTCAGCGCAGCGAGAATACTCATGGCTGAAGCGACCGGCATACTCTCGTAGTGACTCGTCTGGCTTCTAGTGAATAGTGTACAAGTCATCTGCAGAATGCAAGTGATCGGTCTGGAAGATGTGTTGAGAGACAAGCAGTTTCCTCAATTCATCAAATGAGTCTACTGTCTCAGGTGGAAGACGGAAATACCAGTTTAAAGCTCCGCCAGAGAGGGTGGAGGGGAAGAGAAGACATCGCTCTTCGTCGGTGTGCATCCGATATGTCATGGTGGATTCAAAGAGGTTAAGGTGTTCAATTGGGTCATCCCTTCCAGCATAGAGTTGTAAACTAAGCTTTTGTTTTGTTTTCGCTTGAAGGGGGTGTCGATGATCCTTCTTGTGAGAGGGCTAGGCCTGGGTTAGTTCCAGTCAGGTATCTTGGCTTGACTTTCGGCCTTCAACTTGTTTACTTCCTCAATAAGATGTAGGACAAGGGGGTCATGAATGGAGTTATGTACCACTGGAATTTTCTTTCGTAAGTTTCTATCGCCTCTTGGAAGTAGGAAAGTTGGAGCATGGGCATGTGGTTTTTTCTTGGACTCACCGTATTGACTTCTAGGGCGAGTTTGTCGGAATACCTCAGAGTCCCCCGTACTTTCATGTTCCTCTGAGACATGTCGTTCATTCCCTAGATTGGCAGCTGACCTGGGTCGTGGGAGGGCACCGAGTCTTTCAGAAACCCTTGGGTCATTGATATTCGAGCATATGTGGAGGGGATTCTCTCGACGTTGCTTTAGGAAGTCTCGGAAGTCATGATAAACGACTTTCGATCCTTCCAACCCTTCTGCAAGGAGGTGTCTTCCTCCACTTCTTCTACTTCGGGTCGAAGCATCTGGGTTGAGAGAAGTCTCATGTTGATCAATGTTTTGATGATTAGCTCGCTCCTCATTAGGGAAACCCATGTCGAAGGGAGGTGACCCTCAGTGTTGGGGGGCACCCAGATAATGGTTGATGTCCACAGGGGCAACGAGCTTGCATGTTTGAGTACGCCTAGTTTTGTGGAGCTTCTTATACTGCTCCTGGAGAACCTCATTTTTCATTGCTATCTTATTGTTCTGAGCTTCTAGCTCATCGACTTTAGCTTGAAGAGCAACCCTCTTTCCTTCTTTCTTTCGTTGCTTCGCACTAGGTGTAAGAGGGGTGTCATTCTGTGTGCTGTGGCTTCCTTCGTTGCCCATGTTGGAAAGGGATGTCTGGTCAAAAGAGAGTATATGAATGGTGGAAACTAGTTTGGCAAAGCTAAAAAGAGTGGGAATAAGTGTCGTTCCCACAGACGGCGCCAAATGTTGATGCACAAAATCAGTGAGGACTTTGGTACAACATAAAGTGTTAAGTTTGCGACCTTCGCTAGATTGCTCCGGTCACTAGTGTGGATAAGTATGTAAATGGATAGAGACAGTGAAGCAAACACAAGATTGACTACGTCTATGGAGTATAGGAGTTCTCATTAATTGTGAAGGGTTTACACAAGTACATAGGTTCAGGCTCTCCTTTTGTGAGTACTAGTGAATGATTTAGTACAAATGACATTAGGAAATAGTGTAAGAGAATGATCTCTATTTATAGAAGAGAGTTTCTAGTTTCATTCAGACATTAACACGTGTCATGTTATGATTGGCTTCTGATGTTGACACGTGTCGCGTTATGATTGGCTTCTGATGTCGACACGTGTCGCACTGTGATTGGCCTCCTGGTTGGAGGGAAACTTTTCTGGGTCCTTGACGGTATAACGTTGACCGGTGCTCAGTAGTTTCGGGATTGGTCAAGTATGGTACAAACAAGAAGAAATCTTAAGTTCGAATATCTTAAATAGTAGTTCGATAATACAACGACTGTCATATAAACTCTTCTAAAATTCTAGTTAAACTAAAATTTATTTGTAAAATATCATGATCGAACTCTCCGATATTTTTAATAAAATCTTTTAAAATCCCTGTTAAATACATAACGAATAATATTTTTTTAAATTTTTTTAATAGAGCAACGAGAAGTAAAAAAAGGAAAATAAATAAAAGGAACCAAAACCAAAACAAAAGAGGAAAGCCAAAGGGTGGCCCTCAAAACACTGAAACATCGATCTCTGTCTCTCCCTCTTGCTCTCGCTCCACACCACAAAACCCTAGCTTCGAAATTCGAATTGGGAAAATTCGCCAACTTTCCTGCCCTACTGCTCTTTGTCTTCGTCAATTCAAGGTAACAATCCCTCGTTTAACTTTTTTTTTTCTTCTTTTCTGTTTCCACTATTTAATTCCATCCCACGAATCGTAGTATTTGATCCTGTTTATTGTTTAAGGAAATTGTATGAAATTTAGGGTTAATTGCTACTTCACGCACACCAAATATCGGGTCTTTTCGGTTTCGATAGAAAAGTGATTGACTTTGGCGGAATTTGTGTGCATCCTTTTCCTTTTCCCTTCGATAATTTGAAAAAATTAGGGGTTTTTGATAATGCTTTTTAGCCATATATCCTTATGTTGGTTTTATTTTATTCAATTAGTATCAAAATTTAATGAATTTACCTTTAAAAAGAGTTTTATATTTTTTTAATCTGGTTGTTTATTGAATGAGATGACAATGTGCAAGACGAGTACACTGTTTCTTTAGTGAGCTTTTTATTTTTTGGTTTCCAGGTACACCTTTTGGTCTTTGTAGCTTAAGAGATTCTTAGTGATAAGGAATGCATGTATAAATTGTGTTGTGTGGTAATTATTGGGTTTCTTTTGCATTTTCTGAAATTTAATAAATTGCTCCACTCTGTATGCTTCTGAACCTTGATTAGGATTGAGGCAGTCCTGAGAAGTGGATGAATAGTTATTTTGATTCTGGAAATTAGTCTTCCATATAATTTGGTGTGCTTTGAACATTTTAAAATGAAACAAAGATATAGGTCATATGATAGAGCTTGTTACGACCTCTTATATAAAACTATTATAGGGTTTATAAATCTTTGGTAGTGGAACTGGTCTTGTTTTGTGATTGGAAGTGAGGGATTCTTGATACATGAAAACGTGGACTTTCAAAAGTTATGTTGTGGAAGTATTTTCATTACCATGTATAGAGATAAGAGCGGTTGTCATAGGATTTCAAAAGGATGGATTGGGTGACTGTTTTAAACTTTTTATACTTCTTTATCATATGTGTGCATGCTATTATCTTTGCTTTTTGTTTGCTCATAATGTGTTGCTTATGAGTTTTTTTTCATATTTAGTGTGATTGGAATATGGATCCCTTCATTGTGTAATGGATCAAAATCTTCTTTTGGATCTTGGTTTGGCTTAATGAATCCTAGAACGCCACTACACTCAATTTTGCGTCAAGTCTTCCGTTAGCTTCAAGTACTCCATATCTTTTCTTATAGTATCTTTCCAAGTCTTCCTAGGTCTTCTTCTACCCCTTTTGCCATGAGCCTCTGTCTCATAGTCGCATCTTCTAACCGGATCACCTATAGGTCTTCGGTTCACGTGTCCAAACCATCTTAACCGATTTTTTCTCATCTTATCTTCAATTGCAGCCACTCCTTCTTTACTTCGGATATCCTCGTTTTTAATCCTATCCTTTCTCGCGTGCCCACTCATCCAACGAAGCATTCTCATTTCTGTTACACTCATTTTTTGTACTTGTTGCTTTTTGACCACCCAAGATTCCGTGCTATAAAGCATTGTTGGCTTTATTGCCATCCTATAAAATTTTCCCTTAAACTTTAGTGGTATACAACGATCACACAACACGCCCTATTAAGTTTTCTCTTGAGCTTTATTGTGGCCCTATATATTTGTCTTTAAAATAAGAAATAAATTTTTATTAAAGCCAAGATACTGTACGACCACTATAGATAAGTTGCTCACGGCCATAATTATCAAGTAGACTAATCAATATAGAAAGCAATACACTATCTAACAGTGGACATAATCCAGAACAACAATTAGACTATAGAAAATAGTATGTAACTATGTATGCAACTATCTGCTGTCTTAACTCTTCCTAAATAAAAAAACTATGTGCCGTCTTAACTTATGTTCAGGCAGTAGCTGTTTGTGACTTTTCTTCCCCAGTAAAACACACATCCAAAACACAAGTAATGCTAATAAACAAAAGTTGGAAGAATAATACCATTGAGATGCTTCCTACTTAATGATAAAGTAACATGTGTTCATGTCTTGCCTTTTCTTTGATTCCCATTTGTGATATTCTTAAGACACCTTCCTGACTTTTGTTGATGACCTATTATTGGCAGGAAGATTCTGTTATTTGTTCACAGTTTTAGCACTGAACTATGAACTGTCTATGTCATATACATTTTTAAGTGGTGAACAGAGATATATATGGCTTCTTTCTTGTCTGGTGATTCCTCTAATTATGGAATGAGTGAAAGTGGTTCCTATAAACAAGCTCATGACATATCAGAAGAAGGAGCCAATTGGTATTTTTCCAGGAAGGAAATTGAAGAAAACTCTCCATCTAAACAAGATGGCATTGACTTAAAAAAAGAGGCATATCTGCGCAAGTCATACTGTACTTTTTTACAAGACCTGGGGATGAGACTTAAAGTGTGAGTAAGCCTTATCCATAAATTTCTCTTCCTTCACTTGTTATCTCCAAACTAATAGTGTTACCGTTGTTTGATTGTCATTCTATGTTTTTTATCTAAACCTTTGTGCATTTTCCTTTATTATACCCTGTTGAAAAGGAATTGATAATCTAGCTTTGGGTGTGGATGAGAGCTTTGATGTTTCAGTGCCTTAATATACTTATAACATACAATGTTAGTTAACAGTAATTGTGTTTTCTGACACCTTGCTGAAGGTCATTATATTCTGTATATGTACATACGAAAAATTAGATGGCTTAAAAGGCTAGTCATGAGCACTGAATATTCTATTCCTTTCACTAGTTTCCTTACAAAATGTTTTTTAACTTCTAAAACCTAAATAAATATTGAATTCAGTTTTACTCAATATTTTGGTATTTAACTCTAGGAGCATATTAGTGATTGGAACTGAGTATCATTGTAGATTTGATACCAATTTCTGTTGTGACTTAAATTCTACCGCATAATTTATGATAATAATTTCTGAACCTGAACATTTTTTTATGCAGACCTCAGGTAACAATTGCGACGGCCATAATTTTCTGCCACCGATTCTTCCTTTGCCAATCCCATGCAAAGAATGATAGATGGGTGAGTATGAACAACCTTGAATGGCCCCCAACCCCTATGATTTCTTATATCTAAGTTATCATTAAACTAATATGTAATTGTGTACCTGTTTCATTTTTTTTTTTTTTTAACACACTTGTTTATACCTGTTTCATAATTGACGCCTACACACATTAGCGCACCCCCAGAGGCCCCTTAAAGTATCTTGTCTGTCAGGATTTGAGACAGATGAGATCCTTTAAGGGAAGGTTGAATAAATAGGAAAATTTCATACTCTAAGTTGAAAATGCACGAAGTTCCCATCTAACAAGTAATAGAGAAATGAATCCTATTACTGAAAAAGGGAAGTTTTTATTGTACTTCACTAAATTCTGTAATACTGTTATGCAGACCATCGCAACGGTGTGTATGTTTCTCGCTGGGAAGGTTGAAGAAACTCCCAGGCCACTGAAAGATGTTATTCTTGTCTCATATGAAATTATTCATAAAAAGGATCCTGCAGCAGTTCATAGAATCAAGCAAAAGGTAGTTATCAACTTATCACTTAGTTCTTGTACCTGGCATTGCTGTACTTTTATCAATCAAAAACATTTATTTGATGTTGCTGATTCTATTTGTTTAGGTCTTCCTAATTTTTAAAAAGATAATTCTGAGATTCGAACCATTACTCTTCTTGTCTATTGTTTCCCCCAAGTTCTCAGCTGCTTACTATCAGCCCTCTGTTATACCATATCTAAGTGCTATCTATAGGTTAAGTACAAAGACTCTGCGTACCCATGTTGCAATAGTAATGTGTAGTCAGCTGCTAAATCACATAGATTGAAAAACCAACTTGCTTTTTCTCGTCTACCTCACACCTCCATGTTACTTTTCTATTTTTCATTTTAATTATTCTTTTATCCTGTCTACCTCACATGTCTATGTTGCTTTTGTTGAAGTGAATCCAACACCGGATTTTGGGGTTCCACCATGGACTTATAAGTAGTTGGGGTTCCACCATAAACCAATTGGCAATATGGAGAGTAGCCCAACTACTTATAAGCACATGCAAGGTCCCTCCTTTCTCCAATGTTGGATTCACTCTCAACACGCTCCAACAACTTTTCCCCCTTTCATTCTTTTATTTATTTTATTTAAAGAACTTACTTTTGGATGTTCCCCAGATATGCGCACTCTATCCAAATCCGATATTTAGTTTATTGTTTGTTTTGTTATGCAATTACTTCTCTTTCATTCTTTGTAATTGCTTAGTTTATTCATACGTTTGCAATGATTATGCAGGAGGTATACGAACAGCAGAAAGAATTAATTTTACTAGGAGAGAGGGTTGTTCTTGGAACCCTTGCTTTCGATTTTAATGTACACCATCCGTATAAACCCCTGGTTGAGGCAATAAAGAAATTCAAAGTAGCTCAAAATGCCCTTGCCCAAGTTGCATGGAATTTTGTAAATGATGGGTATGGATCTCCTAGTTCATCTGTCTTTCTTGTTCTTGGGCTTTCTTCAGTTTCTTCTTGCTTGAACTTGGTATGTGGCATGCAGACTTCGGACATCACTTTGCCTGCAATTTAAGCCCCACCACATTGCGGCTGGTGCCATTTTTCTTGCTGCTAAGTTCCTCAAAGTAAAGCTTCCATCAGATGGCGAGAAGGTCTGGTGGCAAGAGTTTGATGTCACCCCACGCCAATTGGAGGGTGGGTGTCCTTGCTTTATTTCAATAAGTGATGCTGCAGAGCAATCAAAATTGTTCCTTGCCATCCTTCTTTTTCTTCATCTGATGAATTTACTCCATCACTCTTTCATTACTTTTGGCCCTCTTATTCTTTTTGTTAATCACTGTCGAATCAATCCATAGCACAGAAAATGTTTCGGAAAGTAGTGAAATCTCTTCTTCTCTCCTTCCCTCCTACCTTTGTACAATCTTGTGATCTTGTCTAAACTATTAGTTAGGATTCTTTTTGTAGGATTCTTTATTAATATGTTGGTGTCAGTTTTAGTATGTTGGTATGAGTTTTAATTGATCATTATTTCTGCAGAGGTTAGCAATCAAATGCTGGAACTATATGAACAAAATCGGTTACCGCCTTCCAATGAAGTTGAAGGAAGTTCAGTGAGTGGTGCTAATCACCAGGCTTCTGCAAAACCTGCGACTAGCAATGATGAACAAGCAACTGGCAACAGTTACTTGCAGGCTGGAAGTACAAGACCTGGAACCTCAAAGCTAGCGTCGAGGCAAGGGTCTGAGCATTCATATGTTGAGAATGGTGGACCTGCTAGAATTACCCAAAGTCAAAATAATGACTACAGAAACGTTGAATTGAAAGGTGCCTTGGAGCAGAATATGAATGCTGAAGTGAAAGATATTCAACCCCCTGAAGCGCGGCACCAGGAGAAGATGGGTGAAGCTCAAAATGCATCAAGGTTTGTATCAGAGGGACGTAGTGAAGATGGTCAAGAAAGAGAGAGCAATATCGGGAAAGGTGAAACAAGGGAAGGATGGGAACCAAAGGATAAACATTTTGGCCGAAATCTGGATAATAGGCAAAGTGCACACGGCCGATCACCTCAGGAAGCTATCAAAAAAATTGACAAGGACAAGGTAAGGGCAGCACTGGAGAAACGAAGGAAATCTGTTGCCGATGTCACTCGAAAGACAGATGTTCTGGATGAGGATGATTTGATTGAGAGAGAACTGGAAGATGGTATTGAACTGGCTTCGGGGAGTGAGAAAAACAAGCGAGACCGGAGGCAAAGCTGGCCAAAGCCCTCAAATAGACCAGAACTTGGAGATGGACCACAATTAAACAATATAGAAGAAGGTGAGGTATCGGCACTTGATTCTGGACATGAATTTCATTCACCCAAATCAAGCAGTCGCAAGAGAAGGGCAGGAAGCCCACCAGATGATCACCGTGCTCACCGCAATCACAGTGATTATACAGATGATCACAACAGAGTGGGTCGGGCTGGCCACACAGAAAGAGATAACAAAAGACATGCACATGAGAATCATCTATGAGGTGGTGTTTCATGCCTGCTGCTCGCCAGAGGTTTTTGTTCAGCCCTCAATTTCTGTTCACGTCCAAGATTTTTGCGATTTCTTTGGTGATGATCATGGATACAGGCAAGCTGCTGCAAATATTTTTGCCAACGGTTATTCTCCAAAGGAATATGAAGTCGTGTTTGTGCTTGTGTGCTCTGAGGCTCCGTCGTTTGATGTTTTTGACCTGCCTCCATGTAGACAACATCCTCGGCCATTGAGAAATGTCGAAGAGGCTCATGAAAGCCCCAAAAGGACTTAGTTTACAGGTTCCTTTTGAATCTCACGTCTTACTAAACAAGTTTGGATGTAAACTGTGTACGATAGTTCAAATGATGATAATTTTATTGTAGAATCATAGCAGTAAAAATAGACAAGAAACCCTTTTGGATATCTTTTCTAAACGATTCAGACATTGAAACTCGGTCATAATTCATAAATATTTGCTCCTGTTACATTCCAAAGGAACCTATTTTTTCTTACATGCTCACTTTTCCGAGGTGGGATTTATATATTTGCACTTGAGAGTGCGAAATGACTTCTTTGTAGTGCCAATAATTATTCACTTTCAAATAGCGGGATTAATACCAAACACCATAATTTTTCGCCCTCTGTAACGAATTGATTCAGAAATTCAGACACAGACCTAGATGCCAACTCCAAAGTTTTTAATTTCTTTGGTACAAAAGTACATTGCTGCAAAAAGAAAAACAAGTCTGAGTCGATATTCGGAGGTCAAAATTATACATCATGAAAAGTTTTTCTCGGGATCAAGATGCCATTATCACCTTCTATGTTCTCTATCCCTTGTAGCTCTATAGGCATCAACATCTGCACTTCTTTTCTTATGGACTGGCTCGTCTCTCTTGTCTCGACGGTCACCATCTGCATGCCTCTTTTTATAGTCTGTTTCATCCCTCCTCTCTACACTTCTCTTTCTATAATCTCCATTGTCCCTCTTTTCTCGAAGGCTATCATCAGCTGCACTTCTCTTTCTGTACTCTCTGTCACTACTCCGTTCCGCTAGTCTATCACTATCTGCACTCCTGTATTTTACCTCACCCCTCTCACCACCATCTGCATTTCTCTTTCCACTCCCCAGCTGATCGATCTTATCATCTATATTTCCCTGCCTCTCCTTATGATTCTCTCTATCACTATCTGCACTCCTCTTTCTGTAATCTCTATCACCCCTCCTGTCTGCATAGGTATCATCTCCATATCTGCTCTCACGCTGATCTGTTTTATCATCTGTGTCTCTTTGTCTGTCCTTACGCCTTTCTCTATCCCTTCCCTCTTCAAGATGATCTCGACCACTTCTGCTTCCACTGGATCGATTTGCTTTACTGTCTCGACTTGAATCCTCTATGTACCCTCTACTTCTGTCACTGTGCCTCTCCCTATAACTTGAGTCTTTATTTTCTCGATCCCTACGCCTTAGGTCCTCGGAACTCTGCCTATTCATCCTTTGTTTCTCAAGTCCACGGTCATTATTGTGACCCTGACTTCTCTTCTCTTGCCTTGGACTTTCTGGAGTGTCTCCATCAAATACCATATCATAACTACAAGAACAAGTTGATATCAGATATATATATTTATATGATGTGTGTGTGTGTGAGTGGGTGTGTGTGAGAGAGAGAGAGAGCATGAAAGATTACCAACCTGGAGTTTTTGCCACCACCACGCTGTACATTATCATCCTTCAATATGTACTTTTGAGGTTGCTGTTTGTTGGCAGGATCACCGGTGCAATCCTTGGCAATGTGATCAAGTGCACCACATTTGAAGCAACCTTTGCCTACAACCACAAAAACATAGAACTCGATTAACTCCCAGGTTTTCGAATTAGAGGAGAAAGGATTCAATGCAATTTCAAATACAGGACACCTTTTGACAATAAATCCAGGAATTTCACTAAAACCAAAGATCATATAGCAAATTCCTTCCAATAAAAAGGCATCCAACGAATTTATAAATCATTTATTTCTCCAATTTCATCTTTAATTTACCGTATTTTAATTATTTTAATCAGAACATCATAACCCGAAACTCAACTCCGAACCATCTAGGTGCCTACAGCATATAAGCATATCTATATTGATCTGTCAGCCGAATAACTACTTCCTCATTCAGGTAGTAATCAAACAAATATAGGTTGCATGAAAACTTACCACTTTACAACATGATTGATCCAAGATATTACTAACTCATTTTAAATTTACATGTTTACATTCTTTTTTTTCCGTATTTTGCCAGCTAAAGGCCGATACATTGAGACTTACCATGGTACATGATACAACAAAGACCACAAGAATGAAACAACTTCTGGATATTCCATCATGCAAGAAAATAAACTTGCACAGCCTATTACTGATATTTTACATCTACAATCAATTATTTTTTTAGGGCAAGCTACAAATTTTTTTTCACAACTATGACATATGAAGTTCGTGCTATTCATTACACAGCACAATAAACGAGTCCATATGTTGGCTAAGTTGCTTTTCATAGGTCCACTTCGATTTTGCCACATGTAGGCCTAATTGATAATGATAGTCAAAAAAAGAAAAAAAGGACGAGTAAACAATAACACATAATGAACAGAAAAAACAATAGCATACAAAAAGATATTCAAACCATTCCCTCAAGTAGCAGGTGATTAAGCAAGCTTCTTCTGAGCACATATTGAAAAAATGGCCAAAAAGAAACCCAACATATGAGTTTTCTGCATGCCTTAAAGTCTATACCTTTGCCATTTTGATCTTTGCGCCTGTACTGGGACCACAGTTTTGCAACACTTTGACTAAAATCCACATGTATTCTCCGGTCGTCAATCAAAGCATTATCCATCTACAAAAAGAAATCATACAAGACGAGCAAAGCAAAATGGGTTCATACAAAACATAAATTCTAATGATTTCATTCTTTATTTTTTAATGGAACTGCATCCAGATGAGAAGAGAAGCCAAAAATATTTGCAAGATTTACGTAAGCTCTGCAACAAGTATCTTTGCAATCCGAACTGGAAAGGACTATCTGAGCATGCCTTAAAAATGCACGTGGAAATGCAATAGATAAGGGTATTAAATCAAAACACTCCCAGTACTGTTCACTTTTAATGAAAAGGACATTTTTACTCTAAAAAGTCACTCCTTGTACTATTCACTTACAACACATTTTTGTCCTTTTGATTCAAACTCAAAGTTTTCAAGCCCCTTTCATTAGGTTTCTTTTAAATGTATAGAGTGAATCAGAAAAATGTCAAGGGGTTTGTTGGTAGGGCAACAAAGTTTCTCTTTTTTTTTTTCTTCCCATAATCATAACTACAAGATTTCAATCATAATGAACTCTATAAAAGTTGTTACTGACTATAGCTAAGAACTAAAATAAGAATGAAATGATTGGAGCACGAACTAGGAATGGCAGGTATGCAGGCAGAAGATGCATGTTAGATTCAACATGTAAGTACATTTATTTCTTTCACAGTACCTTAAAATATGCTTGTTCGCATGCTTCTCTGGTCTCAAATTCTGGCATTACAAAATATATCATAGTGATTAGATTTCATTCTTAGAAATATGAATATTAATTCAAAAAAGTTTAAAAGAGAATAAAGAGAAAGATGAACATAAGTAGGACAAAGAGCATTAAGGTGGATAACTAAATTGTGAAACAGAAATATCGGTCCGAAGACTCATCAAACAAAGGTGCTAAAACCTACATTCTCCAGCATAACAGTCAAGAGATAGTGTATTTCCTATTACAAACAGAAATAAAATACTCACCTATGAATGCATAGCATAAGCTATCTCCAGTCTTGAAATCACGAATTATATCAGCCCTGCCATCATTCACATATCATTACATTACATACACAACTTTACAATCCCTAATCCACCAACCCCAAAGTCTATCAATAATGAACAAACAAGGTCAATACTTACGCTTGAACAGTTCCAAAACGCGAAAAAATTGTGTGCAAATCCTCATCCTGCATCAAAAGCAACCAGAGCAAAAATTACATGCACCACTCCACAAGTTAGACTATGAAATGGGAAAGGAAACGCTACTTACTTCAGTGACTGGATTCAATTTACAAACAAAAAGCACATTGTCGGGAGGTTTTATCTCAACATCAGGAATATCCCCAATCTGTTGTACAGATATGACAAGCAAAATGGTAAAAGAGGATTAACATGTGATTACACAACAGCTCACTCTGAAACTAGAAGGATGGGATAATGATTGAGGTGCTTACACTCTCTAGCACAACCGCACTGGAATGTGCGTCTTTGGCACGAAGACGCTCTTCAAGTTCTTGTGGACCTAATTGTTCATCCAGAGGAACCCAATCATCTTCAAGCCGCACATTATCATCAACCTAGCCAGGATGGAGATGAGTAAGAACATTGACAATTTTTTAATATATATTAATTGTCAGCTCAGCTTAAGCTTTTGGGAATGGTGGTTAACTAACAAACTTATCATGGTATCAACTATCAAAGAATAAGATTCTGATTCGGATCCCTACAACTGAACTTTTCCAATAAAAGCTGGATTTAAATGTTCAACGGCCCAGTGATGGAGAGAGACCCATATGTAAGGGTGGAATATAAAACAATTACCGTTCACATCCTAAAGTTGATCAGAATTAGCCAAAATAGGAGGCCTGTGTTTATGCTGCAGATCCACAACCATGCATTGCTATCGAAGAATGCATGATTTCAAGTGTCATGAGGAATACATTTCTCATTGTTATCTTATTTTGGTTTTTCATAGTACCCGATAAATATGGAATAAAAATAGCAATACGTCACTACCTCATCCTTTGGTTTTCCTTCAGGGGAGGCGTCAGGAATTAACTCAGCTAGTTGTGAAGGATCATCAAAAGGGTCATCCAATATGTAAGTATGTTTGATTCTGCCAACACAAATAAAAAGTGACAGTATAAGGGAAAGGGAAGTCAATCTAGAATCTAGATCGAGACAAACAGGAAATAAAATGTATGCAAGGCCAAACAGGAACTGACCGGATATTTTTATAGGGTCGGTTGATCTCATCCACATAAGCCTCATTGATCCTTGTCAATGTCTCAAACCCCTCTGCTATCTCACCAAAAACCTGCAATAACATACATTGCTTGAATAATGCTGGACATAAAACAAAAAACCAAAGAGAACAATTCCATACTAGCAGAAGGCAGGAGAACATATATAGCTCAGCTTATATTTCAAACCCCTTTGCCGTTGGCTTATTTAGGAGTAGACTAACTGAATAATCACCACACAGGCATACGCCATCTGCATGCTTATTTTGTAGATTTATTGGAGAGGCTATCTATTAGTATAAAATTATAAATATATCTAATACACACTACATAAAGACACACAAAGGAAGGATAGTCATGTAAACCATCAAACAGAGAGAACACTATTGCACAGGAAGCTTTGCTGTAATTCACATATGAAACACAAACTCATAAGCACTTATGCACAGGAAGGTGATAACCACTTTTATTTTCCACATTAAGCAGTGCAGCAGTAGATTGAAATCCCTCTCCCACAATCCAGCACTTAACTAGCAGATGTAGAAACCAAGAAATATTGCTAACATGTTTAGACATAATATTTTAAAAGACATTAAGACCGGAAAAAACTATCGTATCACAATACTTTAGTTCACTTGTCTGAACCTATCTAACTTTATGCCTCAATTGACCTAAGAATCCATTCACCCAGCATAGAATTAAAAAAGAAATAAAATTCTGTGTAGTTGACAGAGTTGAGTAATAAAAAATCCAAGACATATAGTTAGTAAAACAATTGTAGATAGGACTGGACAGTTACCGTGTGCTTCCCATCGAGGTACTCAAGATCATCACGCAATGTCAAGTAGAACTGAACAAAAAATAAATCAGTGCATCACTCCAATGTTTTTGAAAAATTAAAAGTTCATCATCCAAAAGCATAAGTTTACAAAGATACACAACTCAACTCAATAAAACCCCTTTCTCAAAAAGATTGATGCAGGGAAAACAAACTTATAACAGAAAAACATTAATCTCATACCTGAGAAGCATTGAGATTCTCTCCAGCACTAGCCATCGCAACAGTGCCTGTCTTAGAATGCTTCAAATCAAGATGAATCTCATCGTTGAAAAAGCGAGCCTGATCACCATATAAAAATCTGAAAGCAGAACATGGTCCAAGGTGATTTGAGCGGTAATCTAAAAACTTTAGTCACTTAACTTGTTGTCAAGTAGAGTAATTGAGAACCATAACACAACTTAAGTTGCTGCATGGAACAGATCATGCAAATTCTTACTTGTAAACTGAATCGCCACCTGAACCCGTTCCAGTTGGGTCACCAGTCTGTGCAGTGAAATCCTTCTGAACCGTGTGAAAAAGGCACCCATTATAATACTTTATCCTGAATCAAGATAAAGGTTAAGAAAAGAGAAAAAGATAGTAATGAGATGATATGCCAAAATACAAATTAAATAAATACAAGACCTATGATTCATGTCCCAATGAGCCATAACAATGATGATGTACAAAAAATTCTGAGGCAAGTAAGAAGCTTTATGAATTCAGAAAATATTTCTAACAACACGTAAGCAATTGCACAAGAAACTAGTAATTACACAAAGCTGACTAGAATCTCAAGACTCATCAAATAAAGGGCAACTTAACCCACTTTTCTATGCTCAAGGCTCATATATCCATAGATCAAGAAATAAGATATTTGATTGCTGAGAGAAAATACATGAAATTCAACCTAATAAAGAAAAAAGCTTAGGCCTTAGATCATGATTTATTTGCCAAGTTTCATAGCTGAAATAACGACGACCTGCCATCAATCAGTGACAAAAACCAAAAGTAAACCAAATGCTATTAACTAGAGGGCAAGTGAAGAATGAATATCGACTTACTTGCAGAGCTTCAAGAAGTTTTTACAAGTGAGAGGGCACTTGTCTGTATGCAAATCCACAACTATCTCCCCTAAGCTTGTCACTATAAGCACTGACATTGTCTCTCACTGCATTAAAACAAAACTAATTCAATTCGCTTTTTTGATAATTACTGAAGCTAAACAGAACCCTCCTGATGCAAATTACACTACATACAGCTGAAAAATCCAAATTGCACCAAATTTTAGTCCAAAACTTACGTTTTCAATTAATAATTTACTAATTTGTTTTCAATTCATTATTCTTGAACAGAAATTGGGCACTACATATCGAAAACAAACCCGGAAAAATTCATTAGCTTGAAACTCTAACAACCCAATACTGCATTACCAAAAAAATCCCCAAAAAATTACAGCTTTAATCTACCACATTAAAAAAAAGATCCTTTAAATCCAAAAATAACAGTTGGGTTTTGACGAACCTTTCGATTTCCCTTGTTGAAGCTGCTGATTGAAGAGCTGTTATTGTAAGCCTTCTGCGATGCAACAACAGAGAATGGGAAGAAAAATACCTAAGAAAAACCCTCAACACTCAACAGATAGCAAAGAACAACAAATTTTTGCGGGAAATTTCACGATTGAAATTAGGGGTCTGAAGAACTCACTCGATTATTCGAGTTACGTCCCAAGCAATTGGATGCAGAGAGGGATGGGTATGGTTTTTCTTTTATGGGCCAAAATACAAAATCTTTGTTCTGTGGGCCTTTATTGCAACATGGGGCTTTGTTTGTGGCCCAAATACTATTGGGCTTTAATTTCCTGTGTCCGTTTTAATGATGATGATCCTTCCACCTGGGTGCTTTTTTTGCATTTAACTTCTTGTGTCCGTTTTAATGATGGTTAAAGTGAAGTATACAGTGTGGCTCATATGCAAGGTATGGCGTGGGAAAGTGATCCGGATGCCACACTTGTAGCGCGTTTACTAATTCGTAATCAAATTGAAAGAAATTGAATTGAAGAGGAATTGGATTGAGGAGAATTGAAATAAGGTGGAATCAGAATCAGAATACTATCGAAGTTGTTTACTAAAACTGTCCAGAATCGGAATACAATTTTATTAAGCTGTTTACTAATTCAGCAGAATCGGAATATAAACCAATATAATTACTAAAATGCCCTTGTCTCAAATCAAATATTTTATATACTTTTTTTTATAAAATTTGAAATAGTATATATTAGTAAGAAAAAATTAAACTGCTTTTTTATTTTATAGACATACTAAAATGATTTTGTTTAATTTTTTTTATAAATTTAATTATTGACTTTAATATTTAAATTTTCTCGCTAAAGTTGTAGTTTTTTCTCTTCGACTTATGTATGAAGTTGTGCATAATGTGAATGAGCATAAAATTATGCTTAATGAGCTAGAAGGATATGGAAAGAAATTATTAGGAGTTGGGTGAAAAGAAAAATAAGTATAGGGTTAAAAGGATAATCTTGGAAATAATGAAAGTAAGTGAGGGCATAAAGGGAAAAAAATTATCATTCTGATTGCTTGGGCAATCCGGAATCCAAATACATTGTATATGTTGGGAATCCAAATCCTCCAATTTCAGGAATTGGATTCCATTTTTTGTGTGGGCTCCATGCGCCTTTGATTCCTCCCAATTTTAGTAAACACATGTATAATCTGTAATCGGAATCGGATTCCTTATTGTTATTCCAATTACGGGTTAGTAAACGCGCTTTTGGTTTCGATGGTGTTTATCTACCTGTATTATAGGATTTTTATTTTTTATTTTAAATCAATCTACCCTCTTATATACTCTTTGTATTATATATTAATAGTAATTTATCTACCTATATCATAGGTTTTTGATAATTTATCTCAAATTAAATGTTTATCAATTTGTACCAAAGGTTTTTGCTCATAGTTTGTAGAGTATATCTGCTTTTTAGATACAACGTATTTGCCTTCCTATATCATATGTATATATGGAGGTAGACAATACTTTTGTTTGTCTACCTATATAATAGGTTTTTGTTTATAATCTACCTCACATGTTTTTCTTCTTTTTAATATATCTATGTTATAGATCCTTAATTATATTTATATCACAGGTTCCTTGCCTCCCACAATTTTTAATTTGTGATAAACTTATCATATTTATAGTATATGAATTTTTAAAATGTTTGTTATTAGGAAGTGGGTAGATAAAGCCATATAAAATTTTAAATCTAAGAAATTCAAATCGATTTTTATTTTTACTCTAAAAAGCAAAACCGGTATAATAACAAATTAAATAAAACTGGACTTGAATTTTTTGGACTTGGATCAAAATGTCCCTTTTTTTAATAGATTATTAAATGTTTTATCATTATTATTATTTTTTTTGTTTTATAAATATTTATTATTCTTTTTCAATTGTTTATGAAATACTTTTAATTTGACATATGATAGCAAATTTTAAAATTTAAATTGTCACATAAGCTGTTTTATTTATTTATAACAAATTATATTATCTACACTAATTTGGTTCAAATTTACATTTGGCGAGAATTGACACACCCCGACTGAGGTTAAGGCATGCTGGCCGTCACATGAGAGTGACGTAGCCATGTGCACAGTGAGGAAGCGATAAATATAGCAAACATACGAATAATTAAAGATCATATTACTAGTGTGCACTTCGAAACAGAAAGTGGTAGGAGTTAAGTACAACAGTAACACTCCTAGTCAGATCATAAAGTCTAGGTGCAGTCCAGTAGGACAAATACTAGTTATACAATACCAGGAATGTCCTATTATTATATGGATAAGTCAGAACTGCCGACGTCATCTAGCCACCAACAGCAATTTTACTTAAAACCTGGAGGGGCGCAAAACAGAAAACATGAGTGGGCATAAACAAACGTTTTACAAAATCATTTCATTTATCAACATATCTAACCTCTCGCTGTAAAACCTGTAAAAAATTTCCCATAATCAAGATGTAAGCATATACATAATATATATATGAAATCATATCAATTCAATTCATACTTCACATAATTATATTCATATGTATGCCATGTCAAAATATAATAAGTAGCAATCTAGGTAATAATGATTTCATAGAAGTATGACATGTTAGCCGGAACTCCTGAGTAGTATGTACGACTGAATTCATAGCTTAAACTCAATCTAGCCGGAGTTACTACTATGACCTATATGGCAATATACTGCACATAAGTCGGAACCACTAAAAAAGGTCTATACGACAAGGTTGGGTGAGATACAATTATGCTCAATTCTACTTTCTCAATACTAGCTGTGCGATTATACGTTAGTCACCTACGAGTCGGAACCACTTATAGTGGTTTGTACGACAAGATTGTGCACCTAAATTGGATTCAATGTGAGCATATGGTGCGGGAGGTGACATAATATACAGGCATGTGCCAACTCTCTTTGGCTAAATCGCAATCACCCGAGGTGCAGGTTTATGAGCTCATCGTTTCTCAGTCACATCTCATATATCCAACCAAACATATTCATCACGCTATTTAATTCTTCAAATAAACTTATATCTCAATTATTTCATGTCATATATTGTATGGTTGCACCTAACATTTCGTTAGGCTGCCTACGTACCATAAATAGGGATCAAGCCGTTCGTAGTTCGCATGAACCAAACATAACTTACCTGAACTTACATGTGTCTCCACAGCACCACAATTATATATATATATATGCAACCATGAAATGCATATTCAAAATATAATGGCATTTGGCATATTATTTCAAAGCATATTTCATTTAAAACACATTTCTGGGAATTATATCAAGTATATAATTATATACTGAAAACAAAAGCCTACTCACTGATAAGTCGAAGGGTCGTAACCCCCGATTCGCCCGTGGATACGCTCGTCCTCGGGATAAGTCTCACCTTTTAAAACTTCCAAATCCTTCGAAAACTCATCGGGACAATTTCACCAAAACTGGCCAACTTCGAACCTCGTGATCCCGACGTCCAAAACCTTCAAACGAAGCACTCCGAGCTTCCTTGGGACCTCAATAAGCTCACTATAAGCTTGGATTGTCCTGAAATGGTACCTTTGAACTCGTATAGTCCTCACGAACACAATGATACTAAATTTGGCCACGATCTGTGAAAATTTGGCTTGGTTCGACCTTGTCCGTACGAAGAAGAGGGAGGAGAAAGCGAGTCCGAGAGGGAGAGTACGGGAGTGAGAGAGAGAGGGTGATGTGGATGTGGGTGTATGGCCTAGAATTGGTCAACAATTCAAAACACATAATATACCTAATCCTAATTGGTCCAAAATAATTAGAATTTGAGAATAATGATCCATGCATAACACCTAGACCACATCACACAATTTAACGTGCATGGGTATTTCCGTCATTTCACACCGTCAATAAATATAATTTTGGGACGGGTTGTGACAAGAATCGAATCTAAGACATCTCACTTACAATTGAAAAAGAATACTAAATGGCGTCACATAGGTTGTTAAACTTATATACATAACTTTTTTTTTTGACAAAAATATTATATACATAAGGGAGAGAGGCGTGGACTTAGCCTTACAATGAGCTAACAATAATATGCTTCAAATTCACTTTTGATAAAAATCGAATTTAAAACCCTTCACTTACAACTAAAGAGAAATACCCCTACTAGTCATGTGACTTCACATAAGATGTTAAACTTAAATTTTACATTTTAAAATTTGGATTTGGATCCTCTCCGAGGCAATTGGTCGGGATCCTCCTGACCCGTGTCTGTAGACCGTTGAATTTTTATCTAACAGCTACAATTATTATAACTTTTAGAGGACCTCATATTTGTAGTCGTTAGATAAAAATTCAACGGTCCACAGACACCGATCAGGAAGGTCCCGATCAATTGCCTCGGAGAGGATCCAAATCCTTAAAATTTGACACCAAAGGAGAAGCTCCGATGGCCCCAAAAAAAGGTTTTTTTGGTGGGCCTTTATTGTAAAATCGGGGTTTGTTTTGGGCTCAAACACGATATGTCTCAGGCCTAATGTTTGTTTGGATTTTGGAGGGAAACCCCACGCAAATTTCGAAATAAGGCAGCAACCCCGGAAAGGCCAAAAGTAAGCTGGAAAAAAAATATATTTAAAAATTAAATTAAAAAAAATTAAAAGGAAGGGCCAGAGAGTGGGAATTTATTCAAATGAAACTATTGAAATTAAAAAAATAAAACAATCGAATCAAACCAACGACTGCAATCGCCGCGCGGAGACTCTGAAGCTCGGAGGAGGAGTCAGCTATGTCGCAGGGCAGTGGAAGCGTCGGCGGCGGTGGAGGTGGCGGTGGGCTCGACTTTCAGCTGCCGGACGAGATCTTATCGGTGATACCGAGCGACCCGTACGACCAGCTGGATCTGGCGCGGAAGATCACGTCGATGGCCATAGCGTCTAGGGTTTCGAAGCTGGAGTCTGAGATGGGGAAGATGAGGCAGAAGCTGCAGGACAAAGATAGGGTTGTGTTTGAGCTCGAGGAAAGGGTCTCGCGCCTCCAGCACGCCAACCACGAGGCTGAGTCCCGCCTGAGAATTTCCTTGGATGAGAATGTAAGAATTTCAACCCCCAATTTTCCTTTTTTTTTTTAAATTCATCTCCTTTTGTTTTGGATTTGAAATTCAGGAGCTTTTTCCCCAATTTTTTTTATTGTTTT